AATCAATAGGATATTTTATTTCTCTTTTGGTATGAAAATACACTAAATTCAAAGAACTGAGGTACATGGATTCAAAGCTCTATTACATGATAATAAAAATGCTAAGCATAGCAGTCATTCATAGCACAACTACAGCTGTTTGGTAAAACAGTTCAAAGCCGATAAAGCACTCAACAACCAGCACAAATCAAAAGATATACCAAGACTGCATTATAGAATTAAGTCCACAGTCCAAATCTCTCTCCTGAGTTCTTGTCCACCTACCTATTGGACATCACCAGCATGTCCCATCAACACTAGATACTCAGCAACTTTAGCACCACAAACACCATGTCAACCCATTTGTTCAAGCCAAAACCCCAATGTCAAGCACCTACTTCTTCCTCTTGGCTCTCCTAGGCAATTTAGCTACCTACATATAGCTCAAGCCATTCCTTCTCTCCATCCCCATAGTTAAGGACCTTCTAATTTGCCTCAACTAATGCAATGGCCTCCGATCCTCCAGGCTCTCCCCCCTCCAAGCCTTCTTCATTCTACTGCCAGGAAGAGTGGTCTAAAATGCAAAAATGTTGCCAGTCCTTGCCCAATTTTTTAATGACTACCTATTGCCACCACTACTTGTCTGTCAGTTTGTCAGAATGTGGTGGCTTGTGTGTTGCTGTGAGGCTGGAAGCTATGCCACTGGTATTTCACATACCACCAGGGTCACCCATGGTGGACAGGTTTTAGTGAAGCTTACAGACTAAGACAGACTCAGAAAAAAGAAGGGGCCAACTACTTCTCAAAGAATTGGCAGTAAAAACTGTATGGATGGCAATGAAACACTATCTGATATATTACTGGAAAAATTTATGACTAGCCCTGAAACATTGACTGATATAATACCAGAAGATGAGACCCTCAGGTCAAAAGCACTAAAATGAGACTAGGGAAGAGTTGTCCCCTCAAAGCAGAGTCAACCTTAATGACAGGGACAGAAAGTAAAGCTTTCAGAACCTCCATTTGCTGATGGAGCACCACTAAAAATGGGAAGAAACACCTGCGTATATCCATTAGTAACTGGAACATGGACTGTACGAAGTATGAAAGTAGGAATATTGGAAGTTGTCAAAAATGAAATGGAACACATAAAGATCGATATCCTAGGCACTACTGGGTTGAAATGGACTGGTTTTGGCCATTTTGAATCAGACAATCATGTGATCTACTATGCCGGGAATGACAAACTGAAGAGAAATGGCGTGGCATTCATCATCACAAAGAATGTCTCAAGATCTATCCTGAAGTACAATCCTGTCAGTGATAGGATAATATCCATATTCCTGCAAGGAAGACCTTTGAGTCCCTATTATTCATATTTCCACACCAACCACCAAAGCCAAAGACAAGGAAATTGAAGATTTTTACTAACTTCTGCAGTCTGAAATTGAGCGAACATGTGATCAAAATGTATTGATTATTACTGGTGATTGGAATACGAAAGTTGGAAACAAAGAAGAATCACCAGTAATTGTAAAATATGGTCTTGGTGATAGAAATAATGCTGGAGATTGCATGACAGAAATTTTGCAAGACCAAAGACTTATTCATTGCAAATATCTTTCTTCAACAAGATCATCAGCAGCTATACACATAGCTCTCACCAGATGGAATACAGAGAAATCAGATCGACTAAATCTGTGGAAAGAGGCAATGGAGAAGCTCAATATTTTCAGCCAAAACAAGACCAGGAGCTGATGGTGGAATAGACCATCAGTGCTCATAAGCAAGTTCAAGCTGAAGCTAAAGACAATTAGAACAAGTCTACGAGAGCCAAAATATGACCTTGATTATATCCCACCAGAATT